GACCCCTTGAGTTGCATAGCAACTACAAGGCTACACACTCCCAGCCATTGGCTATTTTCGTAATTTTGCTTTAATGACCTATCTTGTTAAAAACCAGCCTAACACTACGAAATTACTTAAGTGGCAAGCTAAATCACTTCCAGCTAGCTATTTCTAGTTGGTGTCACATTAATATTGATAAATCCTAACTCTTTTTTGTCATAGACTTCTATATAGGTGTGACCAGAGCCCGGATTGATATTTGAGCATCTAATACGTCTTTCTCTCTATTACTAATTATGCATATTTGGTTTTAATAAAGTAACTGATTCAGAATTTTTTAACATCTATAGATATTAATGAAAGTCACAACTATGAATTTTAAAACTCTGCCAGTTTAAGAATACTACAAAAGTATTTTAATATTTCATAATATTTTTATTTGATTTAATTGAATTAAATTTAGAATGAGCTAAGACTAAATTGCTAAAAATTTATTTATAGTTATAGATGAATAATGGTTTAGACTACCATTATTGAAATTATACTGCTAATAATTTGTTCTCAAGAACTTATTTATTGAAATTACATAGCTGTAATATTTTTTAAAATAGTTTACATAGCACTTATATTGCAGATTTAGAACCTTAGTATCAATTAGTATAGCATTAAAAGAAGAATGTGAGATTTATAGAGTTTTACCGTATATAGTCTGAAACTTTAGACAGAGATCAACATAGATATTTACTCATTTGGAATAATTGTATAGAAAGTTTTGCATAGATGATTTGTATCTTATAATTAAAAATTAAATCACAGTTTTAAATAGAATTATACCATAATTGTTTATAACCAACAATTATTAAAAACACACCACAATATTAAGTAATCCTAGTAATGAAATGCTTGAGAAGAGATCTAATAAATCGACTATTTGTAATATGTTAAATTTTTTGATTTTTACTAACACAATAAACTTCGTAAAATTATTCTAGAATGGGAGAGTGACGAAAAGATTTTATCCAAATTAATTAAGTTAGAAGAAATATTGAAAAAATTAAGAGTAAACATCTACAAACATATCCTAACAACATTATAATACCAAATCTATTAAAACTACATATTTACAAACATGTCCTAATGATTTTTATAAAAACTGATTTATTGAATTATGTCATAGGTGGAATAGAATAAGTTGATTTAGAATTTTTAAAGTTAGGATTGGGATTTTTAGTATAATTATTCCATTCTAATCTAAGTGGATTCTGAACCTTATTATTGTTCTATTTCCACTTACAACAAATATACTACATTTCATTATCTGGGTAACTACTATTTTATTTTTTTAATATTAATTATTTAGCAGATAGCGAATTGATCAAGATAATTTTTAGATAACTACTAATGTTTGTGGTAAGTGAATAATTATCAAATTTTATTCTTTCCAGTAATTTTTGAAATAATACTAGAAATTATAACCTTATATTTTCACCACTTTAACTATCATCATATTCACTTGCCTCCTCTTCACTTTCCTCCTCTTCGTTTTCGTCTTCATTATTTTCACTGTTCTCATCCTTTTTATTTTTGTTCTTATCATTACTTTCATTCTCCTCTCTATCTCTCTCTTCATTTCTATTCTCTCTTCATCCTCTTCATCTTCATTCTCTTCATCTGTTTCATCTACTTCATCAAAACATTCTGTATTCTTCATGCATTCCAACATTTTTTTCTAAAAATTATCATTATTCTAATAGCGCTATATAAACTCAAACAAATGAGCTAAAATTTTAGAACTTGTATGGTTTCTTGTTGGAATCTAAATTAAAACAAAAAAATAAAAATAAAAAAACTATAAAATTTTAAAGAAAGCAAAATAATGTTTAAGAACATTATTTTGAACTATGGTCTAAATTAAACTTAATGCAGACCATAATTTAAAATAATACTCTTGGAAATTATTTTTATTTTATCTATAAGTTACAAATAGCACCTGACTAGGATTATATGCACACATGAAGATCTAATTTTAAAAAGTACATATATATGTGGTACGGAAATATAGAAATATGGAACTTATAGATAGTATGTATGTACATACTGTTTGTAAAAGAAAAATTCTTTCAAAACAAAGCTAATTTTCCTATAACCTTACACAAAAAAAGAGGTATTCAGTAAAGTATTACTGTATGCTAGTACAAATTCGGACGGATATACAAAAATTATACTAAATTTTGATAGTATGTAGACTTGTAAAATTCAAATTTTATAACTATTTTTAATGGTTAGGTTAGGGTGAGCACTAGTATTTTCCTTTTTTCATGAGGTAATTATTAAAAGTAATATAGATATATAGTATAGTACTGTACGGAAACATAAATTTGAACGGATGTGTAAAAATTATGATAGTATGGTTTGTAAAAGAAAAAATTCATAAAACCCAAATTACTTTTCCTATAAATTCAATAACATGAAAAAAGAACAATACTAATGCTTACTCTAACCAAAAAGGGTTATTTATAAAAATTAAAACTTGCAAGTCTATATTAACCATACATATAATCAAAATTTAGTACAATTTTCATATGCCCTATCTGAATTTGTATTGCTATATAGTACTACTTTACATACTAAATATATCTGTATATATTTGTACTAACTACCTACTTTTAGATATCTAAAGTGGCAACTTTAGATATTTAACGATTAGTTGATTTAAAAAATTTAAATCAACTAAATTATTGATTTTTTTTTTTATTACTAATCTGGATTTTAATACCATTTCAGGTTTCTTCAATTGTGTTTGTATAGGTGCCTGTACTGGGTTCAACAAAACTTGAACTATAGTTTACTGTTTGATGCCGAAACTCTAAATCAGAGCTTATTCTTATATTGATACGCAACAGGTCTGAATAAATAATAGACCCAGGGTTTATATTTTCCACAATTAAAGAGAGTAAAGTTTTAGCAGATCTGTTATCAATGGCTTTTGCAAATATTTTTCTTTCTGGAGTTCTTTCTACATGGCCAAAAATCCAAACTCCCTCAACACGATAGCTACAATTATATTTTCTCTTACCGAACTTTGATTCATTGATTTTTACAATAATATCCTGTCCCCAAATCTTATTCTGAGTATTTTGGATGTCAAAGCCGATAAGCGATCTATTTTTTTTATTTAGTTAGCAAGTATATATATATGTTGTACCCAAATGATAATCCTGTCTCGATTGCCAATTGGGACAGCCCAAATTAAAATTGCCCAAATCTAACCTTAACGTCTGAGCTAATTAATTTATAATTTTGGCCAGA